TCTCCACCATTAATAGACATCGGATTTCACGTCCCAATTCAGACTAGACGTGGTTGCTTATTTATACATCTAGACAGCCTTTCAGCATGAGACTTGTGACCTATCGTATTTAAACATTCAACTCCCTCGGTTCACGTGTATTTATGGTTTTTCTTATCATACCTTATAACGGTCGCCTTATAATGGTTCCTGAAAATAGTGATAAAATAAATATAAAACCCACTAACTTTGGAGAACGATACATTTGGGATTATAATTGAAAGCTCGACATAAATACTATGTGTGGGAGGACCTCAACCGAGTGGTCTATGGCAGTCAAACTACTGTATCACTAGCCTGTCAACACTGAGGATGTCAGTTGGAACAATGCACGTTGCAGGAGCGCTCAATTACAATCTTAATTCAGTAGGATTGTCAGTTTTCCTACCGAAGGTTGGTGATTCTCTTCGGGCACTCCGGCTTCCTGCACCAATAAAAACTGACTGCCATGAAATTGCACAAAAGTGCTGAAAGTGGCATTAAACGCCAATTAATCAATCAATCACTGTGTGTGAGAGATCAGTAAATATTTAAAATCGTCAAACCATACTTAGTTAGTATATGACCTTTGCTGTTGAAGGATGTAAGCACTATTCCAAGTTCAGATATTACAGTAACTGTAAAATTGTTTTTGACAACAGTTTTTGGCATTCGACAAAGAAATATGCATTGAATCATAAAGGTTTATTGGAGATTCCAGTTTACATTATAGGTTTATATAAAACTAGGTACTTGGAAATTGCCAAATCAATCCACCATACGTATATAGCAACTATTTTTAGAAATGATACGAATGACATTACTTTCGGAACACACATTGATTACTTGTAATTGCAATAAATGTAATCAAAACCAACATGATGCCATTACGGGAACCCCAAGGGAGTTGACATCATGACATTACTGTTAGTCGTGCACTGTGAATCATTATTGTACCAAAATTCATTAATTTTACTTTCATAACATATTCGAGAGGGTCTGGATTGGGGGAGGTGTCTTTAATTCATTATTCTTTAAATTTGCAGATCAATTTTCTCTACTCTTTATATGTTTTGCCTAATGTTATATATTTATATATTTCAACACCCCATTATTTTCTATTCTTTATTTTTTGGCCTTTTTTTCTCTATTCTTTATTTTTTTTGCCACTATTTCTGTGCTCTTGACCAATTATTTTCTACTCCGAAAATCCTAACCAGATATAAGAAGATGTGGTATGAGTGCCAATGAGACAACTCTCCATCCAAGTCAAAATTTATAAAAGTAAACAATTATAGGTCAAAGTACGGTCTTCAACATGGAGCCTTAGCTCAGACCTTCATTCAGAAGTGCCACTGCTTTGGTTCTTTAGGGTTATCAGACGTATATATGCTTAAACATAATACACAGGTAAAGATACTTTTCTAATTGACAGAAGGGACCAATCAGGACATTGGTTTTCCCGTTTAAACTGTTTCACATTTTCTCAGGCTAGGGCCTTTTATAAGGGTTGACCTTTGTGCAGATATATGGTAACCTGACTCAAATCGATGGCTGTATGGGATGCATGAATACACAGCAATGTCCGGTCGGATGAGGGACGTTAAGTACGGTGCCTTGCGTAAGGAGACTTTCGGGCTCTCTACACAATTGAAGAAATCTAGAGCGACTCTTTCAGGGAGCATTCAATCCAACATTCCTTATTTGTCAATTTGCAGTCCAAATTTCCCGCCCTTCGTCACGGTCGACAAATTTCGCATAACCTGTCTTTTGTATTATATTTGTTAAATAGTTTGCATGAAATATTTGCCACTTGACGTTTAGCTAGCAACAATTAATCAATGAATTATTTTTATCGTCCTGCTTTTGTATGAAATATGTGCCACTGGACATGAAGCAAGGAACGATGGTATTTCACTGTTATGTGAAATCAAGCATGCTGGTGTTAAATATGAATAATAAGACATGTAGGTTATACATCAAAGCGACAGCAACCCAACGAAATTAAAAAACAAAAGACATCAATGGCAAGGAGGTCGACTTACGGGTCTTCAACATGTTTGTAATAGATAAATGTGCATGCCAAGCAATAATTAAGATTGCTAATGTTGTCAATCAAAAGCTAGTATTTTGCACTGACTGATTAGAGAGACTCCGAACAATCCCCAGCATAACTCTCTAGGGTTTTGATTACCTGACTAACAACATCATTACAATATGATTTTTGATTAATCTAACATAAATGAACTCACTTCCTATCTGATCTTTGACACCAGATTCAACAAATGACAAAACATTGTTTTCTATTTGTATATTGAGACTGACTTGTAATTAGTTTGTAACGTCAACACAGCAGACGAATCTGATATTGTATTCCATTTTTATCGTCACGCAATCTGATTACAAAACAAACCATGTGTACAAGGATCTGAAAACGTTCAATTCTACTTTCTGTTTTAAAGACATTTCGTGATTCTCTGGTTTTATCGATTTGATACGCACCTTCAAACTTGTAAAGGTTGCAATTTCATTGGCTGATGTAATAATTACAAAAACAGAGAGTAAAACGGAGTGATGTCAGATCCTTGTTAGCATAGCTTGGACAGAGGATCTGTATTTCAATCAGATTGATCGTCATGAGTCATAAGTTTCAGCTTTTTTATATTTTTGTTTTTCATGGTGCTCAACTATGGAAAGCCAATGGGGTTAAGATTCTTAATTCTTGAATTGTCAATTTGTAACTTGTAAATGTGTAATTTCAAAATTCGTAATTCGTAAATTGTCAATTTGTAACTTGTAACTGTGGAATTTCAAAATTCTTAACTCGTAAATTGTCAATTTGCCACTTGTAACTGTGTTATTTCAAAATTCGTATATTGAAAATCTGCATGTATTTGCAACTTTGAAATTCAACATTTGTAACTTTGAGATTCCTTATTTGCGACTTTGTAATTTATTAAATCTAACATTCGTATACTATTTCTTGTTTTGCCATTCTTCATTTGTAACCACGTCACTTAAATTATTGCCATAGAAGCGCTGACATTCGTATATTGATGTTTTGTGACTTGAAACATGTCGATTCGTTAAATGTCATCGTTGTATTATTTTAACGATCATTATGACGACAGATGGCGCTCGGTTTTCTTTTTTCTGTGAATAAGCCTCCTGTAAGTAGGAGCACCTCCATATGGAGTATATACCATTAGTAATTAAAATCAATTATGTACAGCACATACAAAGAAAACAAATATAAAATTAAATTTTTGTTTTTATATTGAATATATACAGGAACTCGGTTTTATTTTGTTTTTCTGAGGACGACAGGTGGCGCTGCGTTCGAGAACGGACACTTCATCATTACTGGAAAACCCAGGTAATATAAACGGTTTCTATTAATCCTAACTTGATGGATGCGATTATCGGACCATTTGATTCTGACTGAGGGGGAAATGCTTACAGATATATATATTAATATACATGCGTACTAAACTTTACTGGTCAAGAAGTAATTGCCGCTACCCGATTTTTCGTCCTATAAAAATTTACAAACTGTGTTGCAGACAAAACGTCCCACAGGATGTTCTTCAAATATTATCATCCCCGATTCCCTTCCCCTCAACTCTGGCTTCATGCCCCTATTGCCGGGATTCCGCCCCCTTGCCACCCCCTCCTCACAGTGTGCCACCATTTTGCTCTCCAAAATGAGCTCTCACCCCCCCCCCCCCAAAAAAAAAAAATCATGTGCAAAGATTTTCATGGAGAAATGAAATTGTTGTGAACAGATTGGCGAAAACTGTTTCTGTGAGGTCTTCCCTCTGACCAGCCAGTAGAAGTACTGGTCAAAGAGTATTTGCTTCTGTCATGAAAATGGCGAAATGGCGAGATCTTCTAGTCTGACCAGTCAGGGGGGGGGGGGGGGGGGTCACTTTGGTTAAAGGTGGGTATAGGTGTGTAATAAAAAAAATACGATCATGGTCATTGACAAAATATCCAGAGGGGACACCAGGACATCACACCATTATACTACTAGTATATGTCATGTCTCTACGATCCAGTATTTATTAAGTTTTCTGGTTGGTCAGATTCCTTTTTATATATATATAACAAAATATTGCATAATCAATACAATTACGTCTTGTATAAAAAAATCATTAGTTTAACTATTTTGTAAAATTTTAACATTGGGATTATAATATTAAGGAATAATGGGTGTCAACCCATTTCTCCCATCGTATATTTAGTCCAAAATTTCCGGCCCAGAACAATATTAGTCTGAATTTTTCGACTCAGTCTTATATTTCATGTATTTAGTCTGAAATTTTTAACCCGGTCATAAATTTCCGACCAAGTGACAGTCATATATTTGCCAAGTTGAAAAAGTGACCCATTCCAGCGACACATCTGTATATACCTTAATAAAGAAAGTGACACACGTCCTCCCAGTTTTGGTGACCAGTACAGTAGACATACATGTATATTCGAGGTCATCTCTATATAAAACCGAGTCCCTGTATATATGCCATATGAAAACAAAAAAATTATTTATCTATTTGTTTCCTTTTATATGTATGTGCTGTACATAATTGTTTTAAATTACTAAGGGTATATACTCCATATGGAGGTGCTCCTATCTACAGGAGGCTTATACACAGAAGAAGAAGAAAACCGAGCAACACCTGTCGTCATAATGATCGTTAGAATAATACAACGATGACATTTAACGAATCGACATGTTTCAAGTTACAAAACATCAATATACGAATGTCAGCGCTTCCATGGCAAAAATTTAAGTGACGTGGTTACAAATGAAGAATGGCAAAACAAGAAATAGTATACGAATGTTAGATTTAATGAATTACAAAGTCGCAAATAATGAATTTCAAAGTTACAAATGTTGAATTTCAAAGTTGCAAATACAGATTTTCAATATACGAATTTTGAAATTACACAGTTACAAGTGACAAATTGACAATTTATGAATGAAGAATTTTGAACCCGTTGGCTTTACATACTCAACAAGGTAAGTGGCCTTTGTTATGCATGCATCACTCGCCATACGAAAGCGATAAAACAGCTAAAAAAGAAAATACACATATGTGAAAACAAAACTGTAAAGACATATATTTTTAAACAAGAACAAACTAAAATGGCTTGTTTTTATTTTTTTTAGGTTTTGCCCAAGTGTTTTCTTCTACCTCGCTTCTGTAGTCCCTGCCATTTGGTTTCTAGAACTGCATAATATGCATAAACGGATAGATAAAAGGAATAATTATAATGCGTCACTTCCGGTTACACAGGATGTTAACACAACAGAGGAAGATCTTACAGTCGACATCAAAGGGGTAAGAATTTATTGGTGATACTCTTTGATAAGTTGTAATGATTATAGTAGTTTTTGAATCAACAACAACAACAATACTTTATTTTAAGAGTGTTACACAGTTAATTAGCTATATAACAAATCTTCCATGAGGCCCTCATCATAGAAAAGCATAAACAAAAGCACTATGCAAACACGTACATGACATTCATTAGTATAAAAGTCAAGTAAAATGATCAATTTTCAATACAACTGCATAAAATGTTATGGAATCGTGTTCACATATTCCAGTACTTAAATATAGAGAGATATTAAGACAAATAACAGTTCACAAAACATGCACAAACCTAAGTTTCGAATAACAATTGAGCCACACGACTCCCAGTCCTGTAAATAAGTCCATGTTTTCTATTCAATGCTTATAATGATTATCTTGTAATTTGCTTTTTATATTGTTGGCTGTACCCGAGGTCCTATCAGAAGTTGTTATTTTCCGGTAGCAAATCTGAAATTTTATTAAATGTAATAAAGATGGGCAAATTGAGCCTTTATGTTGACGCTATGAAACATTTCTACTCTAAAGAAAAATTCTGAAACGACCATAAAAATTATTCATTTTTAACAAATACGAAACAATCGGGCCACATCTTCATTGTTTTATAAGCAGAGTAATAGTGTATATGAACATGTGTTGTTTCATAGAATTCGATTGTTTAATTAAAACAATCTTGAGCAATAGCCATTATTCTATAAGTAATAACATGGTATCAAGCATATAGCACGGCTCATCAATGCTGAACTGGGCAGAATGGTCCGATAATAAACTCCCTTGTGTTAACGATGCCAAATATTGATGTCAGAGTCATCATACATTTGCTTTTATTTAATTGAAAGCACGTTACATCAAATCAATTCATTTTATTGACAATGGATGGAATTAATGTTTGATAACGATACTATTTTAACGATGAACATGTCTTTGGAATGTTAAATAGTATACATGAATGAGCGCAGAATATCTATTCTCACCAGCATCGTTTAAGTAATGTTTATTTTATAGTATTATTTACCCGGTGTAGTAAAAGTAATATTTCGTTTTCCCCAACATTAGGCTGCCGCTCGGTAAACCTACTCTAGTGAGGGAAAATAAAACTCATCAAAGATACCAGGCTTATGATTTTGTACGTCAGACGCGCGTTTTTCAAGATAATATCTTGTGGGAACAATTTAATATGTTGTGGGTACAAGATATTATCTTGTGGGAACAAGAAAACTTTCTTGTGGGTACAAGATATTATCTTGTGGGAACAATACATTATGTTGTGGGTACAAGATATTATCTTGTGGGAACAATATAATATGTTGTGGGTACAAGATATTATCTTGTGGGAACAATATAATATGTTGTGGGTACAAGATATTATCTTGTGGGAACAAGAAAACTTTCTTTTGGGTACAATATATTATCTTGTGGGAACAATGCATTATGTTGTGGGTACAAGATATTATCTTGTGGAAACAAGAAAACTTTCTTGTGGGTACAAGATATGAACTTGTGGGAACAAAAAAAACTATGCTGTGGGAACAAGCAGACGCGCCTTTCTCCCTATAATGACTTTGTTGAACGCATCTATCCCCTCGAAGAACTTGAAATAAAAGATAAAACAGATACAGTAATTCTGCCTCATATCTTGACTAACATCTAGAAATTGACAATGAGGGACGGTTGAGAACAAAACCTTACGACAAAAGAGATGATATAAGGTTCCCAATTGTGAACTTTCCATTTCTATGTAGCAACATTCCAGCAGAGCCTGCATATGGAGTATATATATCCAAGTTGATACGATTTTTCAGAGCTTGCGTTTCCTATCAAGATTTCCTTGATAGAGGGTTGCTGCTCACAAGGAAACTATTAAACCAAGAGTTCCAAGTGGTGAAATTGAAATCAACCCTTCGAAAATTTTACGGACGCCATCACGAGTTAGTTGTCCGTTATGGATTATCTGTTTCACAGATGACGACGAATATGCTCCAATCGTCATAACCAAAATCCTGTCCTCCTTTTCGCCGAATATGACCTACCTAGTTAGACTTGTCACCGGGTTTGTACTTACATGCGCAACACAACGGGTGCCACATGTGGAGCAGGATCTGCTTACCCTTCCGAAGCAACTGAGATCACCCCCGGTTTTTGGTGGGGTTCGTGTTGCTCAGTCTTTAGTTTTATGTGTTGTGTTTTGTAATGAAAATAAAACATCTCCTTTTATACTGTTGTTTGTCTTTTGGTCTATTTCTTTTTGGCCATGGCGTTCTCAGTTTATTTTGGACTTATCTGCTTGGATGTACCTGTTTCGCTTCTCTTTTAAAATACAAATTGTGTAAAAAAGAATTTTGTTTATTAAGAAAGAAGAATCTCGGAAAAGAATCATATCTCTGTGTTCTCGTGGTAGCCTGCTCGCCTCTATTGTGGAAGGTCGTATGTTTGATCCCCTGCCAGTTGCTGCTTTTCCACTAAGCATGTGGCATTTAGTTATAAGAGCAAATAGTGGTCGGCTCGGAGTTTGAATGATGTGCCCGGAGAGGATGACATGCGGACTGTTACCTTGTGAAGTAGAGCGGTAAATAAATCCTGATTAGCGTTTCGGTCTAGTACATAGCAGGGATTATGTTCATATCACATGATCATGTTCTCGTCCGGAAAATGCATTTAATCTGCCACTTGAAATTAAACATCCATTCATTATTTCTTCATCGTAGCCAATGATTCGGTGTTTGTATATTTTAAGGTGGTACCAAACACCTCGACTAAAATTAATTTGGCTTGTTTAATTTTCAAAAAAAAAATTGATAAAATATTTACTTTGACCCTTTTGACAAAAATGTAAAAATTTCAGAAAACTTGGACCACACACTGTTTCTGAAAAAAATCATTGGATATATAGCAGTTTGACAAACACTAATTTTGATCATTGAGAAGCTTAATATTTCCTTAATAATAGAATGTGATTAAAACGTTCAGCTGATTTTTAAGAATTTTCTCCCTGTAGTGTTAATGGTAAACTTTGTCTGTAAATTTCCAGTTTATAAAGGTATCACTACTAAACCAATATTAACTTGAAGATTTACAGGACAATTACTACAATCAATCTTCAACCTGAAACTCTAGTTTGAACTCGAAGTCTAACTCATATTTTAACTCAAACTCCAAACTCGACGATTAGCCACACACTCTAAAACACGTGGCATGTGCACGATAATTGGTATACTATTAGGTTTTGTTTTTCACATTTCTGGATTTGAATAAACACGTTGCAGAGCCAAATATATGGCATCAGTGACAACGTTAGAGAGGCATTGTGATTTTGATCCCAGTAGTGAGAGAGCAACTACGATTTTGAAGATATCTACCATGTTAGCGCACATACCGTTTTCAGATTGTCTCTTGATTCGAGCGTCAATGATGAGTCTTTTGTAGACGAAAGGCGCGTCTGGCGTAAAAATTTCTAAGACTGGTATCTTTGATAATAATTTTTTTTCGATCTGATTTTTTTATCTAACAAAGAATGACTGTTTTGTATTGTTCAGTTCTACAAACCGGTATTCTAAAGCATCTGGCCTGCGTTTCATAAAATGTCAAACAACTAAAATTGATCGTAAGAAAACTTAATTGTTCAAGACTTACAAGTAATCTTTTTAGTAGGATTATTGTTTGTGAAACGAAGGATCGTATGTTGTGTTTTGTTCTCTCCTTGGTGAGTACAGTGTCTTTCGGGATAGCTGAAGGTACCAACTTTCCGACCGCCTTGTAGATGAATGCAAATGTGTACGAATCAAACACAAAAGTAACATTATTTTACACGAAAGATAACAAAAAAAATGTATAAATAAAGCCTGATAATCAAAACACATATACTTTTGATGTTTTACAATTTGTTGATCTAACATAAGTTGAGTCGAGTTCACCTAAACTATCAGTATATTGATGTAAACATGAATGAAAGCATAGCTTATTTGATAAATTAGGTGCTTTAAATATCGTGGCCAATTAACAGGTGCATAAACATAGCTATTTAGTGCGCAACCGTTGATGACATACGCATGCACAAAATTACGCAAGAACCACAATGCAAACGTTGCTTTAGCTATTGAAGTGTCATATGTTTTTTTTTCTCATTCCAAAATCTTGCACTTTTGCACTTAATTACTCAGTATCGGCCATAAAGGGTCAAGGACTCGTATTTGTTTTATTTATTTATTAAATTTATGATAATTACATCTGTTTTACGATTTTCAGACTTTTCTTTTTCAAATGACAAAGCATTTTTGTTGTACGATTGAATAATGTGGTACTCTCGAAATTAAGTTAATTATCGTAAAATGTGACCATATAAATATGAACAAATAATTATTAAAATATAAATATTACTTGAGGATACAACTGTACATGGTCACAATGCAGAAGCCACCTGAATATTTCACGAAATAATGAAATAAACACTTAATAAAAAAAATTTCGAGTGTCCCTAGCGGTTTCATGAATTTACTATCACAAGGAAGGCTCAAACGTTAAGATATTTCACATAAAAACAACGTTTTTATAAAACTTTCGACACTATGACTTGAAATTGGCATAGGAAGAGAGGCGGAAATTACCATAGGGATATTTAAACCCATAAGTCGAAGGCAGACTGACAACGCCATGGCACAAAACGAAATACAACCAAAAGACAAACAAAAGTCTAAAAACACAACAAAGAAAAAACAAAAGAATAAGCAACACGAACTCCACCAAAAACCGGGGAGGATATCAGGTGCTCTGGTAGGGTTAGCAGAACCTACTTCTCATGCAATATCCATCGTTCAGGTAATTTGACAACTTGCCAGACGGTAGTAAACTGTTAAAAGGTTGTTGATCAGAAGACTTTGTAAGGAAAGGTTAATAAAAATACAATCAGGATTTTACTCTAGCAGAATAACAGACTTAATTGTCGCACCTCTTCAATTAAACAATAATTTGACCTGCTATTTTTTACTTTTTATTTATTTTCAGATCGGCAAAATTACGCTTCCTTTAGCATTACCATCAGATTTATGGTTGAAGGTGATCGAACAGTTTCTGTTACTTATGCTCATAATCGGAAGATGGCTACTTCCGAAAGGTGCATTGTCACATGACCAGCTATCACAATTACTATTGGTTTATGTCGGAACAGCTGCTGATATTGTAGAATTCTTTGAAGCATTCAACGAGGACAAGGCATGTAATTTGAAAGCTTATCTTTTAACAGATTAACATGTAAAATCTTTTATACTAAATTTAAAGACACCACTGATATTTGTAATCGATGTAAAGATTATCGAGTAATAAAGATTTTTAAAGTCACACTGCATCGAGTGTTATACGATGTTTCTCCTCTCGAGACAATTAAAGTAAACTGTCGAAAATGGAGAAATTTTGAATCTTACAAGTTACGACAAAAGGTTCTGCTCCTCTAAAGATTTATATAGAATTAAGAAAATGTGGCATGATCGCCATTGAGATAACTTTCTACCAGAGACCAAATGATATAGAAGTTAACAACAGTAATTCACCACACAGCCTCCAACAATGAGCAAAACACATACCGCATAGTATGTTATAAGAACAAACTATAAAAATCAGTTGAAAAGGCTTTACTCATCAGATCGATACAAAGCACGTACACACCGTAACAAAACACAAAAGACACAAAGAACAGATCTGAGAGTACTTGCAGTTACTGAAAGCTATTTCAAAGCCAACAACAACTAATAAGAAATCATGTGTCTATTCAATTCTCCATTACTTAAGGCTTTCGAGTAATAAAGATCGTAACAGTCACACGATACGATGTTTCTTTCGAGACAGTTAAATTATTAAATATAAAGCGCGAGATTTAAATATTGAAAATTTAACTAAATTTGCATATTTAAGTTACAAGTTACGGCGGTAGGTTCTGTTTCCATAAAGATTTATATAAAAATGAGAAAATGTGGCATGACCGCCAATGTTGCAACCATCCACCAGAAGCAAAATAGTTGTTAGAAAATAACGGGCGCTGTACGGCCGTCAACAACGAGCAACGTCATACCGAATAGCAAGCCTTAAAAGGTCCTGAAATGACAAATTGTTCAACAATTCAAACAGAAAAAAATTAATATGATAGACAGCGAACAACAACAACCACTGAAATACGGTCTGCTGACTTGAGACCGGGACACATACAGAATGTGGTGGGGTTTAACATGGTAGCGAGCACTCGACCCTCCCCTAACATGGGACAATGTTGGAATAGCACAACATAAGAACACTTTATAAAAATCAGATAAAAGAGACTTGACGATATATACAATATGTAGTCACATTTCTTCCTTTAAGCTTGACTTATGGAAGGTTCAGTCGACTAATAGAAGGTATATAAAGGAATATATACTAAAATCAGTACCGGAAATAAATCTCAATTAACTCTATAATATTGGAATGATGGGAAATGAATTATTAGATTAGATCATAATTAACCCAAATAATTAAGTCCCTCCCAGTGATCGACTTTCCAACTCGCGAGGGTCTGCACTGTTTTTACGATTAAAACGTGAATCAAGGATTTTGATTGGTGCTCCCTGTGAGAAAAACGCGAATCAAAGATTTTGATTGGTGAGACCTTTGGAGAATAAGTTTCTTTAAATCTTTAATTAGTATTGTTAATCTTTCCATCTTTGTAGTACTTTACGTGCCTCCTCAGTTACAAATTGACCTTTGGAACAAATGAGATTAAGCTTATTTTTTTATCTTTGTTACTGTTTATTTTTTTACTTACATGTTTTACAGGTGAAATTTAATCCAATGCTTTGTTACATTGTACTTGGTATTTGGACATCCAGTTTGATGCAATTTACACTTGTTCTCACAGCAACGAGAGCTCGACGAGACCATGCCGGAGCACCAAATGCTATTCAGTTGCATGACCCTGATTCGGCATGCTGTAATCCGGAAATTTACGGAATATTAATTTCAATATTTATGCAAGATTGTCCATTCTTAGTAATACGTTTATTACTCATATTCAAATATGAAGTTGTCAGTTACACAAATATGTTTTTTACATCTAAGAACTCATTAGTTATCATTTTACTTTTATATCGAGTTGTTGTCGTCCACGTGGAAACACACAATAAGAAGAGAAACGTTAAAGGTAGTCCGATGGTTCCAAGATGCAGACCCGTTGACGGATTTGTTGAATACGAAACTAAGAACGGAAGAGTGAATCTGAAACCATGTCAAAGTACCCCGGATGTATATGTTTGCAAAACAAACGATAGTTTACAACGCTATAAAACTTTAAAGCGGATTGGGAAAAGTGATCCCCAAATGATTAAAAGCAAATCCAAATGACGAAAAGGATTTTTTTTTCTGAACATAGAAATATCTCAAAACTGTTTCTTATAATCATTCCATATTTGAATGAATATTGGTAAGTTCCTGGTGGCATAATTGTTTGGCTCCTCGTGACAGCAAAGCAGATGGTGAAAGTTCGGACTTACAGAAAAGAGCAGATTAAGCGATGAACGTGTGTGTTCAATATACAATGTATGATCAAATACCCGAGTTCATGTACATATGTGTATAATTATAACTTGTGAATGTTGCAAAATTTTTCATTTAGATATATATCCTTTGACATTTCTCATTAAACTAGTTCGGAGGGTCAGGATGGGGTTACTAGAATAGAGAATAAAAGTTAAAAAAAAAAAAGGATAGAGAAAAAAAGCAAAAAGAAAAAAGAATAGAGAATAATGGGGTGCAAAAGTATATAAAATAATTGTGGAAAATAAAAGAATTGGGTAAAAAATACTGATTACAAAAATGAATGATGTACAGAATAAAGAAATCATACAGTAACAGAAAAAATCAAAAGTAAAATCATGTTCATGAAAAATTTATAGAATAAGCATTGTATCTTTAATAAAGAAAAAAATGCCATAAAAATTCAAAGAATACAGAAATGAAGGACCCCCCATCCAGACCCTCAGGTAGGTAGGAACATTACATGTTGTCAAATGAAAGTTTCTCTTTGGTTATTCTATGTACAATGGCATGCATGTGCAATGCATGAGTTTGGATGGGAGAAGGGGTCCTTAATCCTATATTTTATAATTTTGTAGGCCATTTCCCTATCCTTAATTTTTTTGCCTATTATTCTCTATTCTTTATATTTAAGCGCAGCGTTATTTTTACTCTTTTTTTTATTGCCCATTTTTCTCTTATCTTTATTTGGTTTGCCCTTTATTCTCCAATTCTTCCTCATTTTTCTCTATTCTGTAAACCCGATCCAGACCCTCATGTATTTCAAATAAATCGTATTCATTTTCATAATCACATGATGACTTCAGAGAAATTTCACCAAAACAATGACCAAGAGGAAATGAAATTTTCATAGATATCATAAAGCTAACACCATTATTTTTAATGTTTTTGAAAATCAAAATAAAATGCTGTAAATGTATAAGTTCGTTATTGATATAAATAATAAATCATAAGAAATTTTCTTTAAATATACGTTTTTACACTAACTTTGATGTGACACGTGATTTTGTACATATTTGCATATATTCTGTATTTCACAATAAGTTTGTAGGGTTAATTATAACATCCTAAGTTAGTTTATTTTCCAGTTATGTTCTTCAGTTTGTTAATTGTACCTCTAACATGCGCTGTTGTGCACCTACATTTCCCCATTTCACAAGACTAACACAATATAAATATTGGGCATTTCCAGAAATAATTCCCCGTCCTATGGAAGACACTGGAATTTCCAGACAATTTTTGGTTCTCAAACCCTATGGAAGACACTGGATTTCCAGATTATTTTAGTTTCAAGAAAAAAACTTTAGTTAGACAAAGTAGGTGGAAATCCAGACATTTTTGCAAAATCTGAAAAATTTCTCCTAGGAAAAAAAAATGACTTTGCATGTCTTCCATTGGGGGGTGGGGGTGGATTATTTCTGGAATAGCCCATTGGATTATTATAAGGCTCTCCAATAATCAAACAAACTATACAAGTATAGCCATATACCAAAACCATTACAAGACACAAATACATTTCTTTATTTCTTTTGATAAATGTTCATTGGAAAATATTTCATGCATACACATCAACTATATACCTAAAAAATAGCCTCTATGAATTGGGTAGAAAAGACGAAGGGCTGGGAAATTAAGACTACTTCTTCAAAAGATATGTTAGATAGTACCAAATCACCTACCAACCCCCTAATAGTTGTTGCTTATGTTCATTTACGTAATATGCGCTCTAAAATGCAAAGTTGAGAGTTTCAATCCGACATCTTGCAAAGAATTACGGTGCACGAGACCATCTTGAACTTGAAGTGAGGCATACACCTCGCTTTGACTTTAAGATGAAGAATAACAGTACTCTGTTGTCAAGTTTGTGTAGGATTCTAGGGTCATGAATAAATACACTATTTCCCTTATATTTTGACGACAATATTACTATTTTGAACTTTGAACTATATGGAGCAACAATCCAACAATACATGAATATGGATAGTAGTATTTTATCTCTCAGTTTAAACGATGTTTCGAAACTCCGGAGTTTGTGTCAGCATGTTTCCTGATCGACATTTGCTGCCTGAAGAAATAACGAATAATTTTTTATTACATTTACCTTAATGACGTTGCTGACCATTACTTTGGTATCCATACATATGTATTTATAGATTATCGTCGGTTATCTCAACGAGATTGATTTTCTCGCTTGAGCCGGTACGACGAAAGCGAGAAAAGCAATCGAGTTGAGATGACCAATGATAATCTGTGTATCGCTATTTTACCTATGAAGACGTTGTTAATTTCCTTGACAACGGCACGTGTTCCCTTAGTTTCTAGCGATAATTTTCATATCACTCGACTCCGCTGAGAACGGAAATTATCAGTCAGCAAGATCAAAGGAAAAATTCGTAAAATAGCGATAATAAAGATTATCACAGATATACTGAGTCATAAACCCCTTACAATGTAATTCCACCTTTGTTCATGACTTATCATCAGGTACGATTTACATGTAGATGCAAAACCACCAAAACATAGTACGTCACATCCTGTATTCTGGGAAAAAGGGCCGAAAAAAAATATTCCCTTGAATTTGAAAAATTGTTGGAAAAGAGAGTCGAAAGATACCAAAGGGACATTCAAACTCACAAGTCGAAAATAAACTGACAACGCCATGGCTTAAAAAAAAAAGACCAACAAACAAACAATAGTACACACAACACAACATAGAAAACTAAAGACTCAGCAACACGAAAAGAGAAAAGATGAATTCTGCACATTTTGTTTTCAAAAATGCTAATTTAACAAGCACTAATAGGAGCAAGCAATGGTAATATTACCCTTTGTAACAAACAACAAAATTTATGGCTGCCAAAAATGGAGGATTTGCTACTTACCATTCCGGAGCTTTGAGTTCATTCCGTTTTTGTTTGGAATCGTGCAACTTTACATCTGAAGATTAATGCAACATTAGTTTACCGATGTTCAAATCTCGTAAATCGATATGAAGATTTAAATCAAGTTAACAATAAAAAACTGATTGAAGCGAATAAATTCGAAAAGGAGCGAGACCGGTACTTCGCGTGGGTATACTCCTCCTGCTATGCAGGTATAATGCTATGCATACATCCCCTTCCAGACGAATTCATTTACACTAGACCGGATCTTTTACTTGTTCCATTTGTTCTTTTGGTGCTGTAATAATAACGCTGAATAACAACTACCAAAGGATTCATATTGATAACATTGAATAACAACTACTCCAGGAATCACATAAAACATTGAATAACAACTACTGCTCAAGGTATCACATAATAACATTGAATAACACATACTCCTCAAGGAATCACATGATAACATTTAAAAACAACTACTCAAGGAACCACACAATAACATTAAATAATAACTACTCAAGGAATCACATTATAAAATTGAATAACAACTACTCAGAAATTAATTTAACATTTTTATTTGTTCACACTATCAACAGACTCGATGTAAGCTAATTTAAAACGACCTTAATTACAAGTATACGTTGAAATATTCAAATATTATCATTATCACCAAAAAACAACATATCTGACGGCTTTAGTAAAATTACACACATTTAAACGGTAATTGGTGAAAGAACATCTACATTTATTATGAAAAAAATATGAGGATATTGATGGGGGTCTATCATTTCTGAATTCTAAGATAATTTTGTAGGTAATTTTTCTCTATTCTTTATAGTTTTACCCATGATTCTCTATTCTTTATATTGTAGCATCCCGTTATTCTTTCTTTTTTCTTTTTTCTTTTTTTCTCTATTCTCTAGTTTTTGGGTCATTTTCTGTGGTATTGATCCATTATTCTCTATTCTGTAAACCCCATCCAGACCCTCATATATGTAAGCCATGTCTACTTGTCCACTGTGTCAATGTTTAAATATTTCGAAAACCCCAACATTGTTGTAGCATAAGTGTAGGCATCTGATGACCAAAACGGAAAAAATCCTTCCGGTTCACCTTTTGGATTAAATCCATCAAAATCTATTGGAGTAGGTTGCCCAAAATGTGGTTGCTTTAGCATCTCAGCATAATCAGAATCCGAAACAACGCCTTCAAAACCAACGACGAACGCACCACCACTAGGAAATTTGTCGGGTTTAATTTTTGTGCCGTTGAAAAATTCTAGCCTATTTGCTGGATAGAAAAATGGCAAACTCTGAAAATAGAATACAAAACATAAAAGAAATTAATTAATTGAAAAATCACAGAAATTTTTTTTTTTATCTTTTGAGTATTTTTGTTGTTTGATTGACGTATACCCTGTATTGCGTTTTCATATTTTCAAAGCAGAATTCATACAATTATATATCTGTATTATTACTCACATAACAGTTATGCCCAGTAAAATACCCAAAAAGCAAAGGAACAGCGCAAACTCACAACTGTTTCAAGGAAATATATAACAGCTTTTGTGAACAAAAAGTACTCACTTTGAAACCTTTACCAGATCCAGAGAAAAACGCATTCCAAGTTTTATAGGATCCACTCAATATAAAGTCTTTCAAGAAGGCAACAGAGCCATCAACAAATTTCTTAACTTTATTTATAGTATCTGCAATATGAAAAAAACTTTTCAGAATTAAAATAAAATAACTATGAATAAACAAATAAGATCTTATCAAGTTGCATGTCGAGCAAGATCTTCTTTCCCTTTACGGAGCACCTGATATCACCCCAAGTTTTTGGTGGGATTCGTATTGCTCATTCTTCAGTTTTCTATGTTGTGTTTTGTAGACTGTTTTTTTTTAAATTTTTTGCCATATATATATAGATTCATTCGTTACGCTCGTGCATGTTCACACTATACGGACTTCATTAATAGGAGTGCGTTCCTTAAACAAAAACTGCTGCAAACTGAATTATGAGGCAAAACGACTGAAATCGATACTGCACAAGTTTAAGGGTGACCATGACCATGACCGGGGTCTCAACTAACAAGTGACATATTGTTGCGGTCTTAGATCTTTAGATATCAGTATAGTCGTAAGTAAAGTCGTCTGATCTTGTGTCTTATTCACGATTTTGACATTTTGACTGATATAATTTTCGCATGGCGGGTGATGCATGCATAACAGGAGACGCTTATCCTGTTGACGCAACCGGTCGCGCTCTTTTTGGAGGGTGTGGACAGGGGTACCCTTCTCCCACCTCCCACTTTTAGAATCTTTTTTTCTCTCCCACCTATTTTTTGTCAAGCACCTCCCGCCCCCCACCTCCTACCTCCTTCAAAAGCTGTCCACCCCCTCCTTTTGAAGTTCGTGTGATTCCCTCAGATTCTGTTTGTTACCTTGATTTGTCTCTGTCTAATCGATTTACGAGATTTGAACATTGGTAAACTACTGTGGCCTTAATTTACATCTTGCGTAGACATCTGAAGCCTATGTTTAAAATTTGTCTAGGAATTTGTCTGTTATGAAGACTATACTTGTATGACCTTATGATGTCTTTTCTTGTTTATAACGTCATTATTTTTTGAAATTGTACACTTCCCCTATGTGTGATAAATAGAATATGCATTAACATCCTGTCTTGGGCAAGATTTTTGTTTATAGTTTTAATCAGTTCTGGATATTAATTTTCAAAGTCCTCCTGCCCCCTTTCTTTGCCGCTAAAAGAAAATCAATTAGTCGCCTCTAATATTATAACAACTCGCGGATATGTACATGTTAATGTTATTATTTACATAATAGTTATTGACAAACTGGTAATTATCGTGATATATGGACTGCCCACAGGACAGTGGTATTGACTAAGACAGCGATAATGACTGAGCCGTAGGCGAGGTAATTATCGCTGTCGCAATCAATACCACTGTCCTACGGGCAGTCCATGTATCACGATAATGACCAGTTCTTTAATAACTATTATATTTATTTCATTGAGGAACCATGTTTTTAAAAATTCTCATAAACTCAAATTTTTCAAAGCAAACTCGAGTTATTGTACGATTTCTATAGGAAAGAGTGAAGACCAGTCATAGTGATAACTTTAAGTCACTGCCATTCATTTAAGTGCAATTTTTCAGTATATGAATACAAAATAAAGTTTTCTATAATTTTGTAATTAACGAAAACATATGGTAAACAATTCAATAACTTCGATTGCGTTTTATTAAAGTGACATCACTCTAAACAGAGAAACCACGCCCCACTGGTCACTAACATGTAAAATTCCGTTAACGACCGGTTTTCTGGTCCGTTTTTTTTTTGTTAAAGACCGATGGAATTTTATACTGAAGAATAAAGAATGTCATGTGGCCCCTTGTTATCCAATAAGAGAAGCTAATTCTTAACCGATATGAAATAATACGTATTAAACGTCAGGAAAGGCAACATTATTCAAACTTCCCGTAAATATAGGATATTTAATGTATTTGTTATTGGCCCATGGTTAAATTTGAATTGTCTACCTTTTATCAGAAAATAATATCAACAATCTTATAACTAAAATTTACAGTATTTTAAATCGACCACTACTAAATATATATCTGATAAGTCCGATACAAAGTTCAAGTAAAGTATATCATACGTCGCTTATCTTGAATTATTTTTAATCTGAAAGTAATGCTTTAAACACAAATTGTCCCGCGAGATAATTAAAGAACACAGTTTTATTCAACGTGAAATCCATTATATGACATATTGCTGAAAATTACTTAATAAAGATGTCGATTTCAAAATAGATAGATCGTAATACATCCACCCGTATTTATTATACCCCACGCAACGAGTTGCGGAGGGTATAATGTTTTTTACCCGTCCGTCCGTCTGTCCGTCCGTCCGTCAATCCGTCAGTCCGTCAGTCCTGTTTCTTGTCATCGCAACTCCTCTCAAACCACACAACAGAATTTCACGAAACCTTTCCAGATAGGACATACTACTGTAGTTGTGCATATCGACAGGAAATTACGATTCAATTCTTTTTCTAGGAGTTACGCCCCTTTGAACTTATTTACTTTAATGTACTACTGCAACAGTTTGTCATCGCAAATCCTCTCAAACCACACAACAGAATTTCATGAAACCTTTTCAGATAATAAGGACATACTACGTAGATGTGCATATCGACAGGAAATTACGATTCAATTTTTTTTCTAGGAGTTACGCCCCTTTGAACTTATTTGCCCAATATACTACTGCAACCTTTTGTCATCGCAACTCCTCTCAAACCACACAACAGAATTTCATGAAACCTTTTCAGATAATAAGGACATACTACGTAGATGTGCATATCGACAGGAAATTACGATTCAATTTTTTTCCATGAGTTACGCCCCTTTGAACTTATTTGCCCAATATACTACTGCAACCTTTTGTCATCACAACTCCTCTCAAACCACACAACAAAATTTCATGAAACCTTTTCAGATAATAAGGACATACTACGTAGATGTGCATATCGACAGGAAATTACGATTCAATTTTTTTCCATGAGTTACGCCCCTTTGAACTTATTTGCCCAATATACTACTGCAACCTTAATTTTGTCATCGCAACTCCTTTCAAACCACACAACAGAATTTCATGAAACTGTGTAGATAATAAGGACATACTATGTAGATGTGCATATTGACAGGAAATTATGATTCAATTTTTTTTTCTGATACAATTTTTTTTCTTACACTCATTTTATTTCTCCAACGACAATGTGGGGACGTGGGGTGTGTGAGCGCGCTCACTAAGGTTCTTTCATTTAATGATTTTTTTTTTGCTCCGATAAGAAGTTTAAATAAAGTATATCATACGTTGCTTATCTTGGAGGTGCGGACGTGTCTAATGAAGATCTATCTGGACGGGACGAACGCGTCTTAATGATTTTTTTTCCGGATGGGGCAGATGTGTCTTAAAGAATATTTATCTGGACGGGGCGGACGTGTCTTAATGAATATGTATCCGGACGGGGCGAAATTGTCTAAATGGACGTGTCTAAATGAAGATTTATCCGGACGGAACAAAATTGTCTAAATGAAGATTTATCTCGACGGGGCGGACGTGTTTCAATGAAGATTTATCCGGACGGGTCGGACGTGTTTTAATGAAGATTTATCCGGACGGTGTAAACGTGTCTAAATGAAAATTTATCCGGACGGGGCGGACGTGTCTAAATGAAGATTTATCTGGACGGGGCGGACGTGTCTTAATGAATATTTATCCGGACGGGGCGGACGTGACTTAATGAATATTTATCCGAACGGGGCGGACGTGTCTTAATGAATATTTTTTCGGACGGGGCGGACGTGTCTTAATAAAGATTTATCCGGACGGGAAGGACGTGTCTTAATGAATATTTATCCGGACGGGGAGGACGTGTCTTAATGAATATTTATCCGGACGGGGCGGACGTGTCTTAATGAAGATTTATCCGGTCGGGGCGGACGTGTCTTAATGAAGATTTATCCGGACGGGAAGGACGTGTCTAAATGAAGATTCATCTAGAAGGAGCGGACGTGTGTTAACGAATATTTATCTAGAAGAGTCGGACGTGTCTTAATGAATTTTTATCCGGACGGGGCGGACGTGTCTTAATGAAGATTTATCTCGATGGGGTGGACGTGTCTAAAATATATATCTTTGTTCTCGGATGATACTGATACTAATATATGACCTTTGTATTATTATTTCAATGGATTTTGGAAAACGGAATTTTCCTCATTTGTTATAGGAATCTGATAACTTAGGTGCATGAACAGACAAATCAAATACAAAATTTCATCTCTGGTCCACATTGTCTTAAAATTTGCCAGATTTTGAGTTGATCACTTAACTATCTTTGGAATTATAGAACCTAGGTAAAAAGAAACAAAATACTAAGGGGACAATGATACTTCAAAGTAAAAAAAAAAAGACATGTTCCAAATCTATGTCGTTAATGTCTAAAATAAGTATCATGCCTTTACACTATTGTTTTACCAAGATGGAATTTACCTGCAGACCCAATCCACTGCAGTTTTTTACTGGCCGGGTCAAACACAGTGAATGCGTCTATTAATGTATTCAAAGCCATAGAAGTTGTAAACAATCGGTCTTCAGCTCTTTTCTGAAAAAAAAATATATAGTTTTGATTATCATTTTGAACTGTTTATTTATCAAAGGTATGCAACCGAAAACATTTAAAGTAGACATTAGCATTATAAAGTAGACACTAGCATTATAAAGTTTAGAATAAGCAAGAAAATTCTTTCTTCCAAATTTAGGGTAAACATTTTTCTTTTAATTTTTGCATAAATCTTTGAAATTAAAGTAGGTTGTTACCTATTCTTATAGATACTTAATATCTTTTAAGTAAAACATACACCAGTATATGCGTACTCACAAGGTCATATCCATCTAGCCCTATATCACCATCTCCAAGAAAATCATCAAAATATATTCTTTGCGACTCATCTATTACTGCAGAGTTTACTATATCATCTAGAACAGGGCCATTAAACACGTCTGTGAATCTGTTTAACACTGTTTCCATTATCTATGCAAAAAATAAAAATCCAGGAGGCTTTGTGATAATTGATTTGATGAACTGTTTTTCTCGTGGAAGAAGAAAAAAGTGACTGCCCACACAAAGACGCTTCGCATCATTTTGACAAGTAGTAAAATGCACGATCAATATTTAAAAATTCGGTGTTTATTTAATTCTTTATTTATATTATCTGAAGCCAGTGGCTACGTGTTGGACTTCTCAACATAAATAAAACATTCACAATTTAACAAAATTGTTAATTTTTTTTGTACACTGGACAAGACGATATGTACAAGACAGGTCACATGATACTAGTCGGGAACAGGAACTGTTTGCCTTTCCGGAGCATCTCAATTTAATCCCAAGATTTTGACGGAGTTCATGTAGCTAGCGTTTAGTATTCTGTGTAGTGTATTGTGGATCGTTGTTTTTCTGCTAGTCGATTTTCTTTTGGTAAAGGGTTATATTATTTATTGGTTTGAAATAATGTATTCGTTAATTGAACACCACTTCAGTGACAAATATATTCAACTCTTTAACAATGTGTGATATTTTTTGTATCTCATCCACATTACGTCATTGTGGGTAATTATTGATTAATTGTTGGTTGCGTAACGTACAGTGGCAAATATTTCATGCAGGTTCAGTACGATGTGGGAAATGAACACACTTTTTTATAGTTTCATCAATGACACGAGAGTTTGGCAATACTTATGATAATTGTTTAAAACAATATAATGACTTTCCTTGAGGTAGATTTGATCAAATGAAAAAAAAAAAAAAAAAAACAATTTAGCACTCTAAAACTTTAAAAAAGTTTTCTTTTGTTTGTTAACTCAATTTCTGTCCAAACATTTTTGTCTGGTTATTTAACAGTATTTTTCAAATATTTAATTTTAAAAGGGCAGGCGAGTTTTTATTTATTATTGTAGTTTTACATATGGTTATAAGCCACTATTAACTACTTACTGGGAACGGAAGTGGCTGTGTCTTTTTAAAGCGCCTGGGCATAGCTAGTGTTCTTGCTGTGAACCAATAGCATTCAAACTTTGAGGGATAGTATGTCAGTGCTAGATCACGTCGGTTGGAAAAATTATTGGCAAGTTCGTAGCTTACCAATAAAGTTGTATGGTTGTATATATTCTGCAAAATAAAAAATGAAAGATGAAGACCACTTTTTACTATACTGTCAAAATAAAAATAAAACTAATACGGATACATTTTTTTTTAAATCGGTAAGACAGGAACCTCTTAATTGTTACTTTTTTGGTTGTGTATATACAAAGTCATGTAATACCGGTAGTATTTAAATCCGTTTTCTGTTTTGTCTTTGTTTTTAATTTGTCTAAAGCTAAATATGTTAACATGACAATAAAGAAATATTATCATAGTGAAGATGCAGTAACTGTTGTTAACATTTTGAGGATTTGAAACTCAGTGCTGAATTTAATTTACTTATAATAGATGCTGACTACGGTAATTGTTCCACTTAACTTTTCAATCGTCCTGAGTGTTTTTTGGTAAAAAATATTTCTTAAATGGATAACATAAATTGCCCAGAAGGAGCAGGGTGTAGGAATCAATTCTGCTCTTAGGGTCATTAAGGCTGTGATAGGGCTGCTTGGTTGGTTGAATGGAAAGAACAGAATGGAAAAAGTATAACCCCAAGAACCTTCAAAAGGCAAATTATACCGAGTTTATGTAAAATTTCGTTAGTTCCTGTCTATCATATATATTTTGTCTTGTGTTATTTTTGTTTGTCTTTTCGTCGTTTTTCTTTGTTTTCTTTCATTGACTAATGACTGTTTATCATTCTATTGGTATCTTCTCTCTCTCTTTTTTTATTATTATAATTTTATTATTATCTTTTTTTTTTAAAAATGCTACGTACTTGTAGATCAGTATCGAATGTTTCTTTGGGTACTAGTTCACTAAGGAGGCTAGCTGTTATACCAAACACGGCATTAGCAGATACCGTAACGTCGACATTGTTAATTGTGAAAGGCATAGACACACCCTTGAAGTACTTTGCTTTAGCTTCGTCCACATTCTGTACCTATATGGTAATGGCAATACAGAATAAGACATGCGCGTCAGCCATGAACATGGAAAAAGTGAAAAATAGGCACAAGAAAAATTGTTAGAAATTAATCCAAGTGAATTGAAAAAGGGAAATGTAACGAAATAATGATAATCGGAAACAAAACGTAATACTTAATTTGAAATATATATTGCAACTTTTCGCCTAAATATTGTTTTGACTTAGATTGCTTATTTTATAGAATTTCTCGAAACATTGTTTAAGGTAGATGGGGTGTCTGAATTATAATCCATAGACTTTTTTAATAATTTGCCAAAATGTAGTTTTTATCATGCTTTTTTGGAAAAAATAATAAAAAGAATGGGTCACGGGGCTTATTTTCACGCTACAGGTTGTGCAAAATTGACAGATTTTGTATAGATTATGCATGGAAAACGCAATTTTCTGCCATAAAACGAAAACTACACCATAGAATTTTGAGATAAAATATGAGAAGATAGCTCTAATATTATGCTTTCAGATAAGAAAAAGAAAAAATGGGGTCACGGGACCCGTTTTCTTGCTACACAATAAAATAGGTAAATTCCTAACACATTCTATTGTAAAAGTAACTTTATCTGAATTATCTGCGCTTACATTTGAGTTGCCTTCCCTTATGTGGCAAAGTTGGAAAAAATTGAATCAAACAAAAGTGTTCTGTATTTTGTAAAATACAACCATAAATATAATAAAACATGTCATTTTCTATATTAAAATGAAAATTCTTACACATGAATTACCCATTACTCTCAAAATTCGACATTTTATTAAAGATCTAGACCGATTATTTTCTGGTATTTCAAAATCCAAGATGGAGGAAGACACCCTATCTCCCTTAACCTGTGATATATTTATAGTTCTAATTTTGCACCATATGAGATACGATATTTAAACACACGTGACAGTTACATGCAGTTATACAAATGCAAGAAAAAACGAAACTTGTCGAGTGTTCTGAATATTTGATTGGTTTTATTTGCTAAACCTCCTGCATTTTCAGAACTAAACAATAAATCAACAACATGTAGGAAAGTTATCGTAGAGTTAGTGGACCTACAGAGGACAGGAACTTTGGACTGCTACAGAAAAAATAAGTAATGTTAGGTAAGGGTAGAACTGTTTCTTTACAATTAGTTAGCATTGAAGCCATCAAAGTTTTTATAACGGTTTATTATTTAATTTTAAAAAGATCTTGGTAGTTTTGGTACACTTCCAACACGAAAAGACCTTAGCACCCTCCATCCAAGCACTACACCAAAGGGTGACTGGGGTATAAAAAAGGCAATCACTGTACCTTTCCCATCCGACAGTTAAAGCCTAGACTGGTACCCGGACGTTATTTGAATACTGAATATTTTACGGAGGGAACCAACCTAGTTAAAGCCATGCTAAGATGGTGGGGCGAGTTTGTCTCTGCGGGATGTATATAAATACGCAGCCACGTCCGGTCACAATAAGGACCGTATATCATATGTCATATTATCAGTAATGAAAGTTTCTATACTGACAATTTTTTTTCAAGAATTATAAGTTATGTCTTACCCATGTAGGAACTAAAGCTGCTGTTTTTGTCAAATTTTCCGTCAGAAAATTTCGAAGATAGAAATATGTCCGTGGGTCGATAGAGTTTTGGTTTGTATCTGGTGAGAACGGACGGTAGGCATACTTTTTAAGAGCTGTAAAAGCTGATGTTACATTGGTGTTGAAAGTTGTCCATTCCTTGTATAAATCAGAAAATTGGCTCTCTTTTAGAAGACTCCCGAGGCCTATATTAACAAAGGTATCGTCAAAATCGGGCGGAATATGGAAGGCTCGCAAAAATATATCCCTGAAAGAAAGGACTCAATAAGTTGTCATTTAAAGATTTATGAGGCTCCAGGAAGGTACCCCCTATTAAAGGTTCCAAATCGGATTTGATCATTGTTGAGCGATATTTGTTTATTGATGTTTTCCTATGAAGAGGTAGGGCAAATTTCTCCTGAATTTATTTCACACGAGTGATCTTTTCAAAAAGTCTTTCAATACATAGTTAGTATCACTGCATCATATATGTACTCTAAAGTTCATACAATAAAATGACTTATTTTTAAACAGATCACCAAATTATAAACGTCTAAAGAAATCTCCAAAAGTCTTATCCAGTGTCTTTGAAAGTGAAAACAATACTTAATAAATTTGGTGCGTCCGTTGCGCTTTTCTAGATTTAACTTCAACAGGAACGATAAAACTAAAAGATGTATATGCTAAGGATGTATGAATACTTGAAATTGAGCACAGCGAGTTTATTATTTCAAACTCAGATTGACCCAACATTTTGACGTATAAGTCAAATGAATTGAAAAAAATCTCAATTTTGTTCAATAATTGGTATACTAATTTTAACATTCATGAATAATTCGATAAAAAGTTTTAAATTTCATCCTTCTTTTTTACAAATTTTAGTTTTTGGTCTACGGTGTTTCTGTTGAGTGTTATTTTCGAAACATTTCATTTGTGCAATCGGTTTGTGCGCATGGAAATCATTTACGTTTCAAATGTTTAATCTCTAACAACAAATATATGGCAAAAGAATGAATTTATGATAATGTAATATTAAGTTAAAATAAACGTTAAGTAATATACTTCACTTTTCCTTCAGGAGTTTTTCAATTACTTCTTCAACGTCTTTTAATCCAATTAATTTCAGAAAATCCTCCAGAAGTTTACTTGGAAACTTGTTAGTTAGATCAAACAAGTCCAAGAGATTTTTTGGAGCACTTTCCCATGTCCGGTTTCCTTCATTATAGACCTGAGCCCAAAAGGTCATGATTGAATTATTATAAGGTCTATTTCGATCATAATATTGTCCAATTGCCTTAAGGGACAATTGTATCTGTTCGGATTTTGGAACAGGCCCGATTCCGTACATTGAAGCTTCAATCAGGCAACTAGAAATCCAAGCGGTAGCGAACATGTTGTTGTCGAACACTTTAAAAAGTTCCCGTATTTCCGCCAATTGTAATTCTCCATGGAAATTAAGCTTAACATGACTCGGATATAATCCTTGGTCCTTTTGCCACGAAAATGGCGGCGTCCCATGGGTGGAAGTTTTTATTTGAAGCTTCTCCACTTCATAAGACAAATATTGAACCGTTTCTGGTAACGTTAAACAGTTTACATTAAAAAGAAACTTTAAAAACCAACAAATGAATAAATAAATCATTTGTACCTCGACACACTTAACAACGTTCAATACCTTTGTGGTCTTACGATAAGATAACAAGTTATTTGATATATGTACATATATTTATACGAAACCTACACGTGTACTGAACTGTAATCTTTTATATACCACTCAATTATATAATAACACCAAGGGTGACTGAGGAAAAAAATATGGTCACTACAGGTCTTCTTCCGAAACCCTTGCCAATGTAGGGCGTCCGTTTGGCTGTGCGGAGTGGACAGGTACGCAGCCACGTCCGGTCAGAATGGGGACGTTAAATCCGATGCCTCGTGTAGAGAGAGTGCAACGCTCTGTGCAAGTCAACCACCCTTGTAGCAACTCTTAGAGGGGTCCGTAGGTGGCCTGTTACTAGGCAACATTTCTGTCCCTATCAAATATACCCTCATTTTCTAGTGACAGCCTAAATTTCCTCGACCTTCATCCCCGACGTCCTCTATTACAGGACCTACGTGTTGTATTTATTGTTAATTTGTTCTCGTCCTGAACATGCATGAAATATTTGCCATTGGACGTTGAGCAACCAACAATCAATCAATCAATTATGTAACAGTAACACAGTAATATTTCGTGCAATGTGGATTTCATGTCGCGTTACTTTCCTTCACAATTTGGTTTTTCTTTGTGTTAACATTTTCATTACGATAATTGTAGCCATTTTCAGCTGCAGTATTCAAACAATTTTACTAGGTCAATGTTAGAAAAATATTAACTTTTTTGTATTAACCACGAATCAGTTGAAGGACACGGGGAAACCTCGCCCTACTCCAGTTTCTAAGCCTCATAAAAAAATTAATATTTTTCTGACATTGACCTTATATTGTATATTTACATGCGCTGTTATTGTATAATACACTGAAATATACATAGCCTGCTGTCAAAAAAAGTAGTAAACTCCAGCTGTTACAGTGTGTTATAACAAAACAGACTTTATTTAATAATTTATTTCAACTTGCAAATAGGCGCCATATTTTTATAATTTCAAGGTGGGTCCATAGATAATATTGTTTAAAGCACCCAGCACTACTACCATGTCAAGTTTTGTGCATTTAACATCAAACCCACAATTGTTTCACCACCAATCCTACTAAGGAATCAGACGTTACTCGAAGTTCGAAATACTTCGGATATCAGAGCAATTGTTTTTATTATGTAGCTTTTTATAACGTTGATTTTGCTTCACTAAACGGTACTTATAGCGATATGATCATCTGTAATTTTTGACAGAGGATTCAATATAGGTGTTAAAACAGAAATATAGTAAAAGAATTTAATAATGCAACAATTTAAAGTTTATTTTCGATAGAACTGACGTTTAAAGAGCGACAGTTATTTTGATAATATTTTATAATCAACATAACACAATCTTTTGCTTATTGGTTTGGTATCAGTCATTTCATTTATTTTCAACTAGTGTTGTTTACAGAATATAAAATATCTCTCCCCCCCAAAAAAAAAACCCCAACCCCATACATAAATACAAACGAGAGAGAGAGAGAGAGAGAGAGAGAGAGAGAGAGAGAGAGAATTTTAATGTGTCCTGTTATCTCTTTCCCGCATTAAGGATGTTCGCTCCTCTTGTTTTTGAATTTTTGTCAGATATTCGGAATCCTCTGGTTTTATCCATTTAGTACCCATTAAAAATTTTGCCCATTAAGCCCTACTTTTCTTTTCATAATTTTATTACATATAGATTAAAAAGCCATATTTGAAAATCTTATAAAAACCTTGTTTTTTTTCATAGTATTTGAAAGAAAATGCTGCCAATGTTAATTTTATGAAAAATCTAGAGAGAATCTTTCCCGCCAAATTTTCAATGGCTTATATCTCAAAAACAAGCACACGGACCTATCGTTTTTTTCTTCTTTTTAAGTTCCGTTATAAATATACTATAAATTCATAACAGTCTTTTAAAAAGCTTGTTATTTTGAAACAGAGTAGCAAACATCCTTAAGACAATATTTCTCGAATCACACTCAACGAATTGTCACATGAATAGGTGATACGAAATATACTTTAAATTAATTTGCTTTTCCTTGTTTCATGAACCTGCAATGTGATAAATTCTAAAACATTTAGGGGGTTCCCCTTGATGACTTATCCTACAGATCTTTAGATTTTTTTTTGTAATCTAGAACATTTTTCATTCAGTAGATTTTCCATGCCAGTCAATTTTGGTATTTGTGCAATTTTGAAAAAAAATGGTGAAGGTCATAAGTGACCATTGACGTTTAGACCTTCTGTAGGTCATATTGTTCCATGATCATTTCTAACAAATCCATGTTTCTATTAGTAACCTTTCTCAAATCAGACATAACCGTTTGAACCTGACAATACAAAATTCTCCGTAGGTTTCTTTTAGTAGACCTCATCTTTTACAGCCCCAATACTCATGAATAACTGTACATGTAATTAAGTCTACCATACTACAAAATTTTAAGGATGTTCGCTGTTCTGTTTCAAATAATATGTTTTTTTTAAATACTGTTATAGATTGATAGTATATAAATAAAGGAACTAAAAATGCGGAAAAAAATGAATGGTTCGTATCCTTGTTTTTTGAGATATTATAAGCAATTGAAAATTTGATGGGGAATGATTCTCTTTAGATTTTTCTTACATTTAACATTAGCATCTTTTTTTCTTTCAAAAGTATGAAAAAATAACAAGGATTTTATAAGATTATGAAATATGGATTTGTTAACTATTTGAAAGAAAAGTAAGGGTAATCGGGCAAAAATGTTAATGGCACTTAACGGATAAAACCAGAGGATTTCGAATATCTGATAAAAAAAGTAAAAAAACAAGATAAGCGAACATCCTTAGTAATAAGTACATCTGACTTCCGACTTCTTAAAACTGCAATCAACAAATTCAGAAGCAAGAAATTTAGAAGATGAGGAAGAATACTGTAAACACTTATAAAAGATACCAGGCTTATAAGTTGTTAAGTCCGACGAGCGTTTTGTTGATCTACATAAGACTCACCAGTGGTACTCGATAAAAACAATTAGGAAGCAACCATTTAACTTTAAAAAAAGGGGGGGGGGTTGTCTGAGTCAGAATATTTTTTTTTTGTCATCTGATTGACCACAATATTTTTTTTTCATTATAAAAAAACCATACCCCCCCCCCCCTTTTGAAGTTAAATGGTCGTTCCCTTAGAAAGCTGAAGTTAGAGAACATTAAAAATTTAAAATTCCGAAAAAGTTGTGCCAAATGCGATAAGAGCAACGATCTATGCCTCGGGGAGAAAACCCTGAATTTCAACATTTTATAAACAGTCAATATTCAGAAGTTGAATGTGCTAAATGATATCGTGTTTCAAGTGCTGACTACTGGGCTGGTAATACCCCGTGGACGAAAGGTCCATATTCGCGGAAATTAAATTTCGCGATTTCAATGTCCAAAACGTGTTCACAAATTTTCTTTTCTAGTTTTTTTGTTCCTGCTTCTTATCTCTCTGAAAGATTAAATTTACGTGAAAGAAAATTTTCGCGATTTTATCTTATTCGCGAAATTGTTGGAAATAAACCCATCGCTTTTTTCTAATTTTACAGTAATAGGAACTGAACAAAACAATTAGTTTTCAAAATTCGTACGAGAGACGTAATTAGTGGATAACTTTTAATGAAGAAGAATGTGTGTCAAGATGGTAACTATAACGACGACAGAAATGAAAATAGTCCCTTTACACATGTGTACATACATGTCAGCTTGAAACATAAAAATTATCAATCGATTTCATGTGTCTGTTGTCTGCCAGTGTTTTAGTTAAATAATTAGATGCATTCATCTTTGTAAAAAGATAAACACACAATCGATCTCAAATTCATCCTCTGTTAAATAATTCGTGCGAAAACGGATCCAAACTTGTTTTCAGCCACACAAACAAAGACTTTCTTTCTACGCATATCCCGCTTTTTCTTTTTTGAAATTACAAGAACGTATTTTACCGCTTGCTCGTCAGTTTCTTCCACAAGCGAATAATCCGCTACAAGAAGATCACGTGGTATAAAATCAGCATTTGGTATTTTACTGAATTCGATGGCTTCCCAATTGTAATATTTAACCATAATGCATTGAATTGTTGGTAAAGGTGATCCTGTTGCCGTGATATTCATTCTATAGAACTGAAATAAATAAATAAAAAAATAATAAACATAATCAGGCATCATTGTTTTTCTTTACATTCAACAAAGTAATTCTTTTAATCTTTACCCACATGTTATATTTAATAGTAATCTAATATTACAAAAATGGAAAAAAGAGGTTTGTGGTGTATTTATTCAATACACGATATCCATACACAGTGGAAAATCTAGTGACAAAATATTACCTCCCCTGTATACAATGAAAGCTAGGTCTTTTCAATGTTTGTCCCGTTTTAGCAAGGATACTATCAATTATAAATTCACGGAAAACGCTCTGGTAAATAGTAAAAATAGAAATAATTTGAAATAAAAATAAAACTTCCATTTAATGTTATCATTTCCCTCCTTAAATAACAAACTGGCTATAGGAGCTTGATGTAAAATTGGTTTAATATATTGCTATGCGAATGAATTCCTGGATTACCAACTTCAATTTATTTTTCTACTGGCTGTATACCTCTCTGGAACATGCTAATCATCCGTATATATATGCAACTAGATCAGAGAAGTTCAGAGAAAAAATTCCAAAGAAATCGATTGATATGCAGCAAAGATTAGCACTTTTGAAATTAAGTTACTAACCAAATGCAAACGGACCTTATCCCGATGTAAACATTGAATGTGAATAGACCGAAAAGACCGCAAATATCATGTACAAAAATCGAGACGACCTTTTCTTAAAATTGTAGAAAAATTAGTACAAAGATACTTAATTTATAAAAATATTTATCTTTTTTTTCTTAACCTGCACAGACAGACTTTAAAATTGTTACATTCACGAAAAGACAATATTTCTATAACGAATGTTCACGTGACAAGAGCAGACCGGAGTACTCGAAAACTTAGATGTGAAAAATAAGTATATTTTTGGGAAATTGCAACATGCTAATGATTTTATGGAACACTCTGAAAATTGGTGACCCGAAAGATCTTTAGATTTTGTATGTACATGAATTTTTTCCATTTTATTTTATCAATATGCAGCAAAGATTGGCATTTTTTAGATTTCAGTTTCACAAGCTTCTAATGCAATTATCTCGATAAAGGCTGATCATAAAACATCGTGTTTTTGCATGTATATTTCTAAAACACAGTTTAACATATAATTTCTTTAAAATTTACAATTATTGTTAAGAAGTAACTTTTGATCAGTATCGTCACCCGCATTGTTTTATTATTGATTTTCTCGACTTTTTCATAAGAAGAGTGAATTTTCTATTGTATTCGTTCACTAGATTTCCCACTGTACACACAACAAATACAAAATGTTAATGAAATAACAACACTTCAATTGCTGTCCTTTAAATGAGGGTATGGATAAGGTTCCTCATTACTTTATTCTTTGTTTTTATACCATTTTTTGCTTTTCTTTATTTATTTTGCCCATTATTTTCTATTGTTTATATTTTGTGTTGTCTCTTTTCTTGGGCTTCATTTAAATGAGGGTATGGGTAGGATCCCTCATTACTTTATTCTTTGATTTTTATTCCATTTTTCTCTTTTCTTTTTTTATTTTGCCCATTATTTTCTATTGTTTATATTTTGTGGTGTCTCTTTTCTTTGGCTTCATTTAAATGAGGGCATGGGTAGGATCCCTCATTACTTTATTCTTTGATTTTTATTCCATTTTTCTCTTTCGTTATTTATTTTGCCCATTATTCTCTATTCTTTATATTTTTTATCATCTCTTTTCCTAGGCTTTTAATTTGTAATTGACTAAGTGATATTTTTTCTTTCTTATAAATCCTCATTCCCAACCTTCTATTCATATTATCTATACATCTCGAGTAAGCTATGAAATTTGAAAAAAGATCTTTTTTTTTATAAAAGTTCTCTTAGAAGATTACATACCCGTCTCCGTTCTCCCCACCTCTCGTCAACAAATTTTATTGTAAGCGGAACATCGTCATAGTATTTAAAACTTGCAATTTCTTCTTTCGATTCTTCCCCAACATTAATCTTGCAGATATACTCTCCATCCATGTCCGATGTTGGTTCTGCAATGACAGCTTCAAGCCTAGTGAAATATTTGCTTTTCACAAAATTAGTTGGATAATTAACCTTTTCAAGTGACTTGTCTCCCTTGACTCTCATTAAAGTAAGAACGACTGGTTGATCGACATTTGCTATTGCTTCGCAAACAATCACGCCCCCTTTATTATGTATGAAACTGAATGTATTGTCTGGTGAAAATCTGACTGCAAAGTTTCCATTGGAAACAGCGCTAACTGCGTTGAATACTTCTCTTAGTTTGTAAGTTATCGGTACATCGAAATCTTTGTAGGACAACTTAGCAACTAAAACTCCTTCAGGTTCGGATCCAACATCATTTAAAGTGTAATTTAGATAACGGGTGTAACCACTGCCCATTGATTCCATGGAGTATTCTGAAACATTTTCGATGATGTTTTCGTTTGAAATTAAATACTGCACCAGTTCTCCCTTAGGATAGTTAAACGAATACTTCATACAGTCAAACATAATATTGTCATATTTTGTGTACTTAAAACTAGGCTTAGGGCTCAAGTGGTATTCCGAAGGAGTCATTCTAAGTAATGATCTTGGTTTTGTCATATTCAGGTCAACTCGGACTGCAAATCCATCACTATCGTATGCCACGAAGTAAAGGTTTCCCGCCACATTTGAGCTGCCATCTTGCTTATATATTATATGTCTGTCGTTCATATATTTTTTGTTATCTGTTGTGGTAGAGAACATTTGATCAGAATCTGAAATGTGCCACAAAAAAAAAAAAATTAAACAAGAATATGCGTTCCTAGAACAACTTACCCCGCTCGCACTACATGTATCTTATTACCATGGTCATCCAACCGTAATTTTTTTGTCAAAATCCCAATTTGTCATAAATATGAAACATTTCACATCGTAATGGAGATGTGTACAAATTTTCAAGTTGATGACTATCCAAAACCGTGGCTTAACTATTAACTGATCACGTGACAGGACGGACAGACAGACGGACACATTGACCGGAAAACATAATATCAAGATACTATCGTAGGCGGGGCCTTGAAATGATATGAATTTCGTGCGTACAACACATCAATCTAAAATAACTTTAATAAGGTACCAGATACAAGACCAAAAGTTTGGAACCCAAATATATAAAGTGACAGATAAATATCACGGTTCATTGTACTTTTTATATACCTTAGACCATGAATTGGAAAATAAGTGTCTTTTATCGCTCCAAGTCGTAAATACTCTATCTTAGGTTAACAAGAGTGCACACGCTGAAATGTCTCGCCTACTATACTGACCACTGATTTTATGTTGATAGTCCTACATATAAAGTTTTACTACAAGTATCACATTAACATTTATGATCCAAGAAACTGAGGTCAAGGTCAGATAAACCAAGCCGGAAATACATGTACACCTTTAATACAATCATTCCATACACAGAATATAGATGACCTATTGCTTATAGTATAAAAGAAAGAGACCAAACAATGGAAATTCTATACTGACCAATGAACCATGAAAATGAAGTCAAGGTCAGATGAACCCTGCCAGACAGACATGTAGACCTTAAAATCATTCCATGCATCAAATATAGTTGACCTATTGCTTAAAGTATCTAAGAAACAAAGTTAACCAAGAAAATTGAACATTGACCAATCAACAATGAAAATGAGGTGAAGATCAGATGATACCTGATAGACAGACATATACACATTACAATCATTCCGTACACCAAATATAGTTGACCTATTGCTTAAAGTTTAAAAAAAACAGACCAAAACACAAAAACTTAACATAAGCAATGAACCTTGAAAATGAGGTCAAGGTTAAATAAAACCTGCCAGACTGACAAGTACATCGTAAAATATTTCCATACACCAAATATAGTTGACCTTTTGCATACAGTATTAGAAAAACAGACCAAAACACAAAAACTTAACATTGAGCAATGAACAGTGAAAATTAGGTCACGTTATAAAGAACTAATAGAGGAATTTAATTGTGGTCTGTGGCCTAGAAGGTGAATTCAGGAAATATTGAATTTGTACTTTGACAACTTCCCTGAATGATCTATTGGTATTAATTTGTCAAACTACATGAGAATAACTGATTTCCACTTATAATACACTAAGCTTAAATCATGCCAAGTTTTATTTGAATTGGTCAAGTTTTAGACCCCTAATAGGCCCAAGACCACAATTAATGACCCCGCTTTTCTTTGTCCACGAATATAGTTCCTTTTAATTAGAGTGTATTTTTTCTTAATTTTTTTTCTTTCCCTTCCTCACTCATTTCTTAGTTTTTTTTGGGTGGAAACGAAAGAAGAGAGGTGAAATAAACTTTTGGATGTTGTATTTTAACTGATTTTGATATGGAAAGAGTGAGTAGGCCAGGTGCAAAAAGGTGATATTTACAGTTTTCGGAACATCTCTTGACTTGTCCATAGGGGTATGGATGTGTATTGCCTAAATTTGTAAGAGTCATTGGTTCAATCTTTCTGAATTTTGGATATATTTTTGGACTAGTACTATACATTACACACACAAAAGATTTGACAAAAATGCATGGTGCAATTTTTTTAATGAAACAAAACGTTATAAAGAACTAATAGAGGAAATTAATTGTGGTCTGTGGCCTGCAAGGTACGCACATACCAAATATACTCATAATAAGAGAGAAATTAACATTACAAAAAACCTTTTTTTCAAGTAGTCACTGAACCATGAAAATGAGATCAAGGACAATGGACATTTGACGGACGGAAACTTCATATCTGGCAATTATATACAAAGTATGAAGCATCCAAGTCTTCTACCTTCTGAAATATTAAGCTTTTTAGAAGTAAGATAACGCCGCCGCCGCCGGATCACTATCCCTATGTCGAGCTTTCTGCGACAAAAGTCACAGGCTCGACAAAAATTATGTTTCATAACTTGATAATTGCCCTATATATTTCCAACATTTTTTTTGTTGAAGCATTGTTAAAAACTTATTTCAGTTCCTATTTTGATAAGAAGAATAATGTTTTGCTCTGATTTGCTACAAAGATTGTATTACCGAATTAAATTACCTAGCTATTCGACTTTTAAAAAAAATGTTCTGACATGTGATATATTTCAAATAATTTAAATGTTATCCGACTTAGCTTTATTCTTTCTCCTTGATATTTGAACTTTTATTCTTGTGGAGAAGTAGTAGTCGAAACTAAATTGTAAGAGAAGAAGAGCCAAACGGCTTTTTTTATACACCACATGACAAAACTTTGCGTCAGATATGACAGAAAACTTGAAAATTGTTTTCAACGATTACCTTTACAAGTATACATGACGTTTAAAAATACCATTGGAAGCCTATCATCTGAATAGACACAACCTCTCACCCAGTCCTTCTCATGAGTAGACATAAACAAGCTTCTATTGTTATAATAATTTGTGCCATTTTATTAAGTGAGTTCACTTGTACTAGTATTCATAAAAAAATGAGAACATAATAAAATTACACTTATGTAAAAAATTAAGTTTTCTGAATCTTTTACAAAGACCTTTTTAGAAGTCCAAGAAGTCACGTGTTTACTGTGTACTATATTTATCTCTATTTACGTGATTATAGTGTTGTATCTTTACAAACCTAAAATGGGCCTCGCTCCTACTTTCTCTTGTTCATAGTACCAAACAAAGTTTTCATTGGCTGATCCTTTATACTGAATATCTACATAGAAGACGTTTCCAGACCAGGATACAGTCGAATAAAACGAATAGTATCCACTGCCAACACTGTTCAGTTCAAAGGGAAAGACTTCCCATTTAGAGTCCTGCAAAAGATGATAATGGATAACGTCCAGCGGCAAATCAAATGCATATTTAGGACCAGAAAATGTTAATGTTATATGAATATAAACTCTGTTTTGTACTAAACTCGCGCGCTGAGCCTGATTTTTAACGTGCTAGTTTACTAGATAACAGTCCGTGGGAAGACTTGTCACCCTATCCGGACACATTATTCTGACTCCAAGCCAACCAGTATTTCCTCTTAATCCTTAATGCCGCGTGCTTAGCGGAGAAGCAGAAAAGTACTATTTTTAAAGTCTTTTGATTGACCCGGCCAGGATTCGAACCCACGACCTCCCACATTTGAGGGGAACACGCTACCACGAGATCACCGAGACTGTCATGCAAAAGAGAAAAATATCAGCTGGACTTTAATTGATCCTTATAATTGAAAAGCTAGTTATAGAACCAGGTTAATTTAATCCATCATTTTCAACACAAGGAAACGCCTGTACGAAGTCAATAATATAACAGTTGTTTTCATTCGTTTGATGTGTTTGAAATTTTGATTTTGCCATTTGGAATCGAGTGTACCTGATGAAGGTGGGTTGTGCACATTGAAATCGTTTCATGCGTTTCAAGCAGATTTATAGAATGTCATGTTGATATTGAATGACATCGTAGCATCATTTCGTGCATGACGTGAATTGAATGACATCTTAAAGCAGGGGTTGATCCAGGAGTTTTGGAAGGAGGGTGTAATTCCAGAAATTTGAATACATGCCGCCGAGCAGATCGAGGCGAAAAAAAAATTGGACGTTTTTTTATGCTATAAAATCATTTGAATCATGAGAAACATGAGATTTTATTCTTAATTGGTGATCAAAGGGGAGGTGCGTACGCCCTCTACACCCCTCCCCATCGGATCCGCCACTGTCTGAATGTATACTTGGTGACGACGAGTGTAAAAGTTAGACTAGTTTCCTGTGCTTTATTTATTTTGTTGGCGACTACGCATTCGTCACAACTCGGCCGATTCCGATAGATGAAGAGAAGCGGTGTCACCCGGGCAACTACGGTGACTCAGATACCCGTATGTTACAAGGGAGGGAACCACCCTTGTATCCATACAGACATTTAAAAATCAAATCACAAATAATTTTGGTGTTATATAATATATATAGAAACACAATGCTATTAATTCTGTTGTTTTAATTTTGATTTTGGTCAAAAGCCACTAAAATGAAGACTCACCATCTCCGCATGAAGTAGACGCAGACTGCATAAGTATAGTACTAAAATCCTAAAAAAACGAATAAGAACTTGCATTGTGTCGAAAAAGTTTAAACTGTTTCGCTTTTATAGTCTTATTTTTAATAATAAACGATGGTATTAAGCTAATTAAATGACAGTTCACGTAGCTTAATGATGATAAGGCGAAAATAATTAGACACTTAATGCCATATTTAAAAGGTGGTTGAGAGTAAACACATTTAGGCTGAAAGTAATTTCAAAATTAAAGTTTCTAATGAAAACTTCATACTTCATGTAAACGATGTTTTGCTACACATGTAAAATACTTGTCAACTTCAGCTACAAAATGTATTAAGGACATTTAGTTTATTACTTTTAAAATGTCATTATAATGTAGTAAATTCGTGTTTCCGAAATTATACAA